GGGCTGAGCTATGCTAGCGATGTCTGATGTCTATTAGTAATTGGCCACTGATGACCCATCTCTAGCCACCATTGCAATTGGGAATCTCTGAATTGTGTTTACCCAAGACCATATTAGTTACTCTTAGCCCTGCCTCTACAGATAATCTAAGTTGTAGGTACATGAAGGGGTGACCACATAATTTTTTGTGTTTGTTCTAACGTAGATAAGCATTGGAATCAGACTGCTCTGTATTCTCATCTTCACCCACTATTTCCTAGTTTCCCAAATGTCAGTTTCCTCTTCTCTAAAGTGGGGATAGTAACAGTACCTGTCTCAGTCACTGGGAAGAATTAAATGAGCTCACATGCATGAAGCTCTTAGCATAGTTCTTGGCACATGGTAAATAGTTATGGGACCTCTTTCTGGACTTGAATCACCTTTGTGGCACTGTAGACTGGGGAGAGGAGAGGCTTTGCAGAAGGTATAAATTTATAAGCTATGTCTTAGAGGATAAGGAGTTAGCATCCCAGTGGACAAAGAAGGGGGAAGGAATCCTGGCAGCAGTATGCTTAAGAGCTATCAGAGAGCAAGGCTTATTTGTGGAAATTGCATATCGTTTACTGTGAATGAAGGGTGAGCTAAAAGTGGGGAGGTGGGAGGAGGTGAGGCAGGAAAGATGACCAAGAACAGATCACAGAGAACCATGTAGAGCTCAGTAAGGAGTTTAAACTTGATCCTCCATCGCTCCCTCCATCCACATAATCTGGTTCCTCTGTTAAGCAGTCACATAAACGTCTTTAAGAGCAGCAGCAGTGAAAAGGGGGAAGAGGGCAGCGAATTGGCCTCAAATGAACTGGCATCTCTTTAAAGCTAATATTCCTCCTCGAGAATACTATATTAATTAAACATGTGCCTTGCAAGGTTCATTATTGTTTTACTTGTGTTCCCTGTTGGTTGTCTCATTCATTAATCTGCTGATTAGTAACCCTGAACTCTTGTATCTCCCCACCCCCTTTTTTGGCATTCCCTTTTTAATATACTATGCTGTTCCCCCTGGGACGTAAACTCCAGGACCCGTCCCTGGCCTGCTCGTGTTTGTTTTCTTTGCCCCTTGTGCCTGCCTCTGCTATAACATTTGTAGTATGTGTTAAGTAATCCTTAAGGTAACATTTTTATTATGTCATAAAAAGTGCATGGCAAATATATTATAACTCATGGACTTTGTTTAAAAATGAACGGATAATTTATTGAGTGTGTTACATGAGCCTTGCTCCCCTCCCCATTTCAGCTGAGACTTGCTGCTCATTTAGCCTAGCCTCCTATTGAGTGCTCCCACCCTGTGACATGCTGGGAAAGCAGACCCATGGTTGGCTAGAAATGACATCATAGTTTATGTACTCAATAAAAATTTAATTAAGTCATTACAGGAATTGCAGTCATCATTTAACCCTCTGATTTCTTCTGTTTAGTTTATTATTAAACATTCAGTAATACCAGTCACCAAATCCTGATGGCTTATAAAATATCTGCATGAATTTTAATAGCTTAAATAAATGGGAAAATATGAGTAACTGATATAAAAGGAACCTTTTCCTTGTGGTGGTGCTGTATATATGGGTTTTTATGAAAAGCAAAGCATTATGGAAAGGATAAGAGTTGACTAAGGGAACAGCCCAAAACTATCTGGGAGGAGTTTCTCATTTGGTTTGTCCATCTGTGTATTCATCATGGGCAGCGCGCTCCATATAGAGAATCATCTGGCAGTGGGGACACAGAACCTGCAGGTCAACAAACAAAGCTTAAGTGAGGGAATAAAATCCCAACAGAGGTTCGCCAGAGGGAATATCCAGCTAGCTCCCCTTGGCTGCTGGGCTGGCTAGAAGGGCCCAGTAGGGTGAGTCCAGTAGTTCAGGAAGCTGTTCTCACTCACCCTCACCTGTTACTTGCAGATCATGTATCTGCACTGATCAAGCTTCCACCCTCTTCCAGGAAGGGCCTTTTTCATGATCTAATCCAGCCTGGGTGATGATATCTGAAAGCCATTCCTAGCAGTGGCTGCTTGCCATCTCTCAGAGGGGAGAGGGAGAGGCAGCTTACAGGTCACTGGAGTTAGACTATAGGAGCTACTAGAGGTAGTGGAGCCTTGCTCATAGGGACTTCTAGACCTGCTCTCCATTCTTCCTGGGTCATAGCTAGCCAGAATGCAGTTGCATCCCAAGAGGAGAAAGTGTGTTTGTATGTAACTGGACCTTGCTGGAAACTGAGGTTTGCAGATTAATGTGTAGCTGATCTCTGGAAATGCCCTACAGATGGTGAAGCAGATAAAGCACTTGTCTATAGTCAGGTTCCAATCCTGGCTCTGCTTTCTTTGTGACCTCAGATAAGTCCCTACCCCTTTTTGGGTCTCAGTTCACCATTTCCTCAGAGGGATTGAGCTAGGTGATCTTCGAAGACCCTTCCAGCTCTAAAGCTTACTAGGTAGATGCAACACATAAACTAGCTCTGCTGAGCAGGTTCAGTGCATGTTTGCCTCTGAAAGATGCTCTTGCCTTTGTGTGACGTCTCTGACATCTGTTTGTGGCTCTGATTCTTCTTGCATGATGAGGAGAATAATGTACGGGAGTAGGAAGAGCCCCAGAATGGCGCTCAGTGGGGCTAGGCTGTAGTCCCATCGTCTCACTTCAGAAGGAATGAACTCTAGCTCTGGCTTGTTTCTTGACTCTGCCTTTCACCTCAGCCCATTCTGGAAGATGGTGCATTAAGAAGTTGGGCAGTACATATTTTTGAAATTTCAGAAACATGCAAGGTATTCAAGCAGCAAAAAAGGGGAAACAAACAAAAGGGTGTCATTGGACAGAACACACTATGCGTGACACTCAGGCCCCTGTAAGGAGTCAGTCATCAGCGTGCCAGCCAGTCTCAAGTCCTGCTCTGGGCCAGGCCCTGGGCTAGGTGTCTGTCGGGGGTGCCAAGATTAATCAGAGTTCCTTATGATCTTTGAGTAGCTCACAGACTAGTGGGAGAGACAGGTACATATGCAGCTCTCAACCACGTTGGCTTCCAGGAGGAGGAGTATGGATGGAGCTCTAGGAACATAGCGGCTGGAGGTCTGATTGGGCGTGGGTTGAAGGTAGGGGGGAAAGGTCATGGATTGTACCACCACCTGCATCCAATCTCACATTTTCCAGTCTTGAGCTGGGCCATTCTCTCTTCCTTTTTGAAAATTATCCCTGACTATTGGAGCTGGTTTTAGTTTTCTCTAAACAAACCAGAAGGTATTACCCATAAGTCATTGCATTTGCAGAGCACTTTACAGCTTACTGAGGCTTTCAGCATACATTGTTGAATTAATGAATGAATACATGCTAATTCATTTGCTGTTTAAACCAGCACTGTGTATAGAGCATTTGAAATGCAAGGAAATAGGTTATTTGACTTGCCCAATACCACATCCTCTGTATATAGCAGAATTAGAACTTGAACCCAGGTTGTCTGACTGAACCCAGGTCCTTTCACTACTCCTTTCTGCTCTTCTTCAGAGACTAGTTATGAGCCACAGGATTAAATCACTCAGTCTTTGATTTATGATCCAAAGTAAAATCATCCTTCTGGAGGCAGGAACCTGATGGAACGTAAGGCACATGGACTTTGGACTCAGACTGACCTGGATGTTAGTCTCAGCTTTATGACTAATTTGCTATGGGACCTAGGGCCAGTCACTTCACCTGCCTGGGGCTCAGTTTTCTGTGTCCATAAAAATGTGACTCTAGCATACCTACCCTTTGAGTTCCAGTGACGGTTAGAGGAGATGGTATCCGTAAAAGCATGTGGCCCATTCTAGGTCCTCAGTAAATGGAGGAGATGACAGTGGGCATTGTTATGGTCAGGGTTGTTAAGCACAAATCTTATTCTCCATGTAAAGTTCCAAATAACTTGGTTGTTTCTAAAACCTGTCAGTTTAAATATCCAGTGAGTCCTCACTTATGTACTGCACATTACACCAGGCTTTCTGCTGGGATCTCAGGAATGAAACATGGACCGGGCTTTCAAGCATACTCCTAGAAGTCCGGAGGTCAGAGTTTTACCCTACTGGAGACATTCAGTGAACTTGCAGTCTGGACTCTGAAGGCCCACCTGGCTGTTCTCTGAGAGAAGTTCTACCTGGGTGTCCATGGTCTCCCTGGAATTGTATTTCAAAACAGTCTCTTAAGATTAACAGTCTTACTACTTCAGCCTGGCTTATTCTCGCCTCCTCTTCACAGCCTCGGGGGTTTCGGGGGCTCTCCTTTCTCCTCAGCATCTCACTCAGGGTCCTGCCTCTCTCCCTCCTCTTTGCACCTCTGACAACTTCCTTCTGTCTTTTACCACCAAAAGCTCCTTTGAGTAGCCCTTAGACTTTTCCTAACCTGGTCTCAACATACCTTTCCAGTGTTCCTGCCCATTCACCTTCCCTGGGACTCCCCAAACATTTTCTTTCCTGCCTCTGCACCTTGGCACACCTTGTTCCCTTTGTCTAGAATGTCCTCTCTCCTCCAAGGTCCACCTAAGTATTACCTCCTGCAGAACTCTTCACCTGCTCCCAGAGCAGAGATCATTTGTACCAAAATTCATTTATTGCTCACCACTTTTGGGATAGAATTTGAGGCAACATACTGCAGTTTAATTATTTTTTACATGTTTGTTTTTCCATACTAGACTGTGTGCTCCTCCAGCTAAGAAACCATTTCTTACATTTTGTGTTCATAGGGTCTAGCACAAAGCCTGACATGTACTTGGGGCTTGGCTCATTAAACTGAGTTACTGCTTTGTGTAATTTGGGATCAAAACCTGAAAGAAGCTGTCAAATTGGGGAGAATCCTGGCAGATCAGGGAAATGGGGATGGACAAGCAGTTCGACCTGTTAGAGGCCTTCTCTCTTTGTTTTACTAAGAGACTGTGATAGTTAAGAGGCAAAAATCATATTTTTTGTTCTTTTCCCCTTTTTTCATACTTTTGTTTTTGTCATTTTGTTTCTGTAGGTTAATTCTTATATCTTGAAGAAGAACATGATCCTTATGACAAATAATTTCTATGCAGCAATCTTGGGATATGATGAGGTAAGATCATTTGCCAAGCCTTAAGCAGAACATTGGCTTCCCCCAACAGACTTTTTTTTTTTAATTTTAATTTTAATTTTAATTTTAATTTTAATTTTAATTAGTGAACACACAGTGCAGTATTGGTTTCTGGAGTAGAATTCAGGGATTCATCACTTACATAGAAAGACTTTTGATGAGAAACTCTGAGGGAACCTTCAGGGGACATCATTACTACCTACCATTATGGCTTAGAATTTCCTCATCTTCATTGACTTGGCAACAGAAATTACTATGCCCAGCAGTTTGCCTAGTGCTTGGGAAAGAGAGCACAATATAATATGGTCAAATCATTCAACTAGTAGCGTTTATTGAGTCCTTATGGGTGCTGGATGTAGGGACAAAGGCAAATCAGTCACTGTTTTAGCCTCCAGAGATAGGAAGACATACACATATAAACAGCACAGGCTGCCAGACAAATCGCAAACTTTTGTGGCTTTCATTATAAAAGCAATACATACTCATTTCAAAAACTCATAAAACTGCACACAAGTGGTTGAAGTAAAAAGTAGAAGGCCCCTTTCTGTCCTGCCCAATTCCCTGTCCCAGAGGAAAACTTTGTTAATAGTTTATTGAGTGTCCTTCCAGACGTTATGTTTGCATACACAGGCACCTATGTATTTTCTTTACACAATGGAAGTTATACTACATACACTATTCTGCACCTTGCCTTTTTTGCTGAACAATATATCTTAGGCCTCCTTACACATCAGAACATTTAGATCTCATTTTTTTCATTGTAAAATATACATAACATCAAATTTACCATTTTTAAGTGTACATTTTAGTCGTCTTAAGTACATTCACATTGTTGAGCAATGGTCCCCACCATCCACCTCCAGAATTTTTTCCATCTTCCCAAACTGAAGCTCTGTACCCATTAAACCCTTACTCTTCCCTCAGCCTCCTCTCAGCCCCTGGGAACCACCACCTTCTCCTTTCTGTCTCTGTGAATTCGAATACTCTGAGTACCCCCGTGTAAGTGGAATCATATGGGTTTTATTCTTTGTGACTGGCTTATTTCACTTAGCATAATGTTCTCAGCGTTCACCCATGTAGTAGCATCCATCTCATCTTTTTCTCCCCACTGTTATCATGGAAATTTCAAACACATCAAAAAGGTAAAAGAATGGTGTAATGAACACCTGTATGCACACTACCAGGGTTCCTCAAAACTCATCTTTTTAAAAAACACATGCATTTATGCTCATTTTGTGGTGATTTAATGCAAGCACCACCCCTTCTGGGAAACAGGCCTGGAAATTCCCTGGGCTCAGCTCCTTCCACCTACCCTGGACTCCACAGCACTCGCTACACTAGTGTACCCTGGCTGGGTGGGGACTCCTTCTGGGTGGTGGCAGTGTCTACCGTGTTTGCATTTCTCTTGCCTGGTGTGGTACCTGGCATGTGGTAAGTGAGGAATGAGGAAGGGAGGAAAGGCATAAAGGATAAAAGTAAGAAACTGGAGTTCAGACTGGAGGAAGTGTTATCAGTCTGAAGATAATAATTAAAGCCAGGAGATAAGCTTACAAAAATAGGACTAGTTAAAATTGAGGGTTCCTGATTCTCAGTCCACCAGATATTTGCAGAAAACAGGAAGGTTTATCAGAGAGCAATTTAGATTGCATACCACACACGTCTTTGATTTAACATGAGCTTTGTGGGAGTGGGACGGGAGTTGAGAAACACTGCTTACATCTACACATTAATTGTTAAATTAGATACATTCTGACTGCAGAAGCCTTGCAGTGTATAGAAAAATGAGGCTTAGAATTGAAGAAATAGCATTCTCTATTAGCTAGTATTTCTTTGAGGACTTTATTGCAGCTGGCTCAGCTGATTCCTTTCACCAGTATTAATAAAGATGTTCTGAATTTTGTCTCTTTTCTGTCCCTCCCATCCCAGTCCATCCTGGCAGAGCCGTCTTACAAACATGCCTGATCACAAGAGTCACCTGGAGAGCTCTTCAAATCTAATTCTTGAGCACCTCTCTAAAGATTCCAGGTCAATAGGAGTGGGGCCTGGTATTTAGCAAGCACCTCAGGTGACTCTTTAGAGTGGGAAAGTTTGGGAAATATACTAATTACCTGGGACGCTTTTTTAGAAATACCATTGTTTGGGCCCTGTCTCCCAAAAGTTCTAATTTAACTGCTGTAGGTGGGCATCTGTTGTAAAAGTTCCTCAGGTAATTTTAATGTGCATGCAGATCACGTAGGTAAAATTCAGATTCTGACTCAGCAAGTCAGCGGGGAGGCCTGAGATTCTGCATGGTGAACAAGCTGCAGGTGACATGATGCAGCCCTTCTGCAGACCACACTGGGAGTCACGGATTCTAGAGCTGTGCTGTCCAAGACTAGCCACGTGCGGCTCTCTTTTTTGTTGTTTTGAGTAGGCCCCACATGCAGCATGGAACCCAGCTCGGGGCTTGAACTCAAGATCCTGAGATCGAGACATGAGCTGAGATCAAGAGTTGGATGCTTAACCGACTGAACCACCCAGGTGCCCCCACATGTGGCTATTTTGATTTAAATTCCTTAAATAAAATTGAAAATTGAGTCGCACTGGTTACATTTCAGGTGCTCAATAGCTTTATGTGGCTCGTGGCTGCTGGACTGGCAGTGTGGCTTTAGAGCATTTCTGTCATCACAGAAAGTTCATTTGGACAGTGCCGTTCTGCAGCACCCTTTTCCTAGAATGTTGCTTGGGTTGTGCCCCTACCCTGGCCACTTTTGAAACCTTCCTGTTTTCTGCTACATTGAGTCCACAAATTCCTCCATGGAACTTCCAGGTCTTCTGTCAACTGTCCCCATCTTGACATGTCTTATCCACTGTTATCTCCTATTGTTTTTGAGTGTGTAACCTTCTTTCCAAGTGAGGCCATTTGCCCCACTGCCCCACAGACATGCTGTGCCTGCTGGAAGATCTCCTGAACAGCTAGGTTTGGAGGGCAGTGGCCGAGTCTTGTCAGCTTTGAGCCTGGTACCTTGTAGGCACTCTCTCTGTAAATGTTCAGTGAACCAATGTATTCTGTCTTACTTAGAATGTAGCTCTCCAAATATTCTCCACTCTTAAAGGCCCCCTTCTCCACAGAGCTTTCCCTGACCTCTCTAGATTTGTGTTTGTTTACTCTGAATTTCAACCTCATCTATCCATCCATCCATCCATCCATTTATCCATTTAACAGTATAAAGTGCCTGCCATATGGGATGCACTGGGAATATATTGGTGAATAAAACAAACATGGTGTAGTTCTTTCCCATTGGAGCTTACCTTCTAATGGGAGATAGGCAGTAAACAGGTAAACAAGCAAATAAATATCTGGTTACAAACAGAGGGTCATAGCAGCTAAGACTGAAGAATGAGGAGTCACCCATGTACGTAGTCTACCTCGGAGTCTCCCTGTACGGATTGGCAGTTGTTCACTCTCTAGGATTTGATCCTGTGCTGCTGTTTGTTGGGCACTAGCTTGTCTCTTCAACTGATTGCAAGCTGCCTGTGAGCTGAGACCATTTTGCTGTGATTCTGTGTTCTCGGCATCATGCTAAGCACGTAGTGGTGTCACAAATCAGTCTTTTCGGAGTGAGACTGGCACTCCAAACCCTTAACTATAACGTGGACCCTCAAGGCACAGGCTTCCTCTCAATTACTCTAGACCTAGGTGTCTTAATCCTGAAGGATGCTTTTTTTGTGTCATGAGGGAAAACAAGCAGGCCCCCTAGTAGATTGTGGGAACATTGCTATGCAAACTAATATTTGGCCACCAAGCACCCCTTTTCCTTTCCTGATTTCTCTCTCAGACCAGTCTCCCATATGTTTTCATTGACTTACTAGCAGTTTGGTGGAAAAAAGGGTGAAGTTGGGCTTATTGATTTGTTCAGCCATTTTTATTGCACCCCCCACTCTGTGCCAGGTACCGCGTCCTACCTAGAGCTAGTCAGGCACCATCCCTTGACCTCACCAGTGCATTCTGGTCCTGAGTCTACCACCAATTAGCTAGATAACCTCTAAGCCTCTGTGTACTTATCTTTCAAATGGGGATAATCATATCTGTTCTTGGCATACGTAGTCATTAGGAGCCAGGTGTGTGAAGGAACTGACAGCCTGGAACAGTCAGGTGCTATCACTGTTGATCGGAGTCCTGAGTCACCCTTTTCTTTCCGACTGATTATGGACTTGCCCCTTCCCAGGCATCTCCCCCATTGCCAGGGGTACCTGTTTGTAGCAGGCCGTGGCTCCCAGGGCTTTTGCTGTCCTGTGCTCTGTGCTCATTCTCTAGGTCCTCATGACACCCGCTCCCAGGCTCTTCTTTCCCACGTAGCACATGTGGATCTCTGCCAGCAGCTCTCCAGCTTGTGCCCGGGGCACTTTAGACACAAGCAGGTTGTTGTGTTAGCAAATAGCTTGGAGAACGGTGATGTGCCTGAGCTTGTTCTTGGGCCCTGTCCCCATCTGCCAGAAGAAGCTGGTTTTCCTGACTCAGCCATTGTGCCAACACAGTCTCTTAAGCTGGGGAATTATAGGGATGTTGAACAGGAGGCATTTGGAACAGGTTGACTGTTTTTCCACCAAACTGTCAGCACCCCATCCTGGACTTGGCCCTTCGTGGCAGCAGGCCTGACGTCGGACCTCATATGCCGCCATGTCCCAGAGGCCAACACACAGTATCACATTGAAGACATGATCTGGGGTCTTCGTGTAATGCTTTGCCACTTACAGAGCCTGTCATGGCCATGATCTCTGAATTCTCACAACAGTGCTGTGGGCGGGTCTTGCTATGTGTGTTTGGCTCATGAGAAACTGAGGCTCGGGAAGGGCTGGTGGTTTTCCAAGGGCCATGCAGCTGTCAAGTGACAGAGCTGCCATTTGAACCTATGTGGTCTGATCCCTAGATCTCACTGTAGTTTCAGCTGTAGCCACAGCTGCCTGTCGCAGCAAGCTCCTGGTCCTTGTACCTGACATACTGCACATAACAGAATACCTTTATGCGGACCCACTTTTATAATGCAGCTGTGCGTAGGGCAAGCACTTTCATCTCATAGATGAGTGGTGAATTGTCCGCCATCTCTGAACCTTGGTAGTGGCAGAGCCAGGACTTGATCTGGCCTTCTGACTTGTAAGTCCCAGTTGGTGCTTTGTCTGGTTCCATATTAGCTTGGCACCTGGACAGAGCAGCTTTTTGGGGCCTTTCTCTTCAGTCACCCTCCCCCCACGAAGCAGGACCGTCCCCTCTCCTTCCCTTAGAGGTCCAAGCTAGAAAATGGCCCTAGTCCATGGCCCAGGTGCTGATTAGTCTCTATGATATTTGGGCTTCTCGACAGACCCTCCTCCGTGCTGCAAAGGACAATATTAGACACACGCACACAGGCTCTGGGCGTTCCCTCTGGCCCATGGCAGCCCTGCTGAACGGCCTGTTCCTCTACTTGCGGCAGGGCTAGCCATGGCCAACCCAGAGATGGGTGACAGTGAGGCCAAGGTGTTCCTTTCCCAGAGAGCCAGCTGCCTTGCAGACGTGTGCCCTTGGACCAGGAGAGAAGGTGCAGTCTATGCCCACCTCTGTTTCTGAGAAAAAATACCCACCCACAACACTCTGTGCCCATTTCTTGCGGGCAGCGGTAGGAGCACTGGGCCACCGTTTCTTTTCCTGGCCTCACAGGTATTGGTGGGTCAAGTACAGTGCAGGCGAGTAGCAGGAGCTGTGTGTGGCCTGGGAGGGCAGCCAGACATGAACCCCATCTCTGCATTAATCTTAGCCAGTCACTCGGCCCCTCTGGCTCCCATGTCCTTCCTGTGCATAAAATGAAAGGGTTGAACCAGATGCTCTCTGAAGACCCCATCTGGCTCTACCATGTAGCTGCCCCGTTTCTTTCTTGTGTCTATAAGGTCTTTCCAGTCCGATTCTGTGGTTGTCAGCATGTTCACAATATCCCCAGCTTTTGTACGAATGGCTCTGCCATACTCCCTGGAAGACCAATTGTACTCTCTGTTCCAGGGGATCCTTTCAGATGACCATGGGCTGGCTGCTGCCCTCTGGAGAACCTTCTTCAACCAAAAATGTGAAGACCCTCGGCAGCTTGAATTGTTGGTGGAGTATGTGAGGAAACAGGTGAGCAACCCCAGCTCTCCCCTCCAGAGGCTCATGGGAAGCAGGTCTTTCCTGAGGTCTGAAGATGCTGGACTGTAGAGGATTATGAGAGGTTGAGTTCCCAGAGGCCAGTCTGAGGGAATTCTGACCACATCCTGTCTGCAGCAGGTGCTGATGAAGAACACCTTCTGTGTGCCCAGCCATGAGCTAGGCTGGGAGTGGGGAATGAGATGGAAGAAGAAGCACTGAGTAGTCTGCTCTCAAAAATTTTTAGGCATTCATTCACTACACATTTGATTACCTGTTATGTGCCCAGTGCTGTGTGAGACCACCGGCACACACAGTCCTGTAGGATATGGGTATGGGGTGCTGTGTAGTCGCCCACTCTAGCCCCCTCTGATCCCACTTTGAAGCTTCAAGATTCATGTTTCCTGCTCCTGATTTCTAGCAGAACTGGGCTCCAGGCAGCATTCCACGGGTGTCTCTCAAACCTCTCCCCACTGAGTGCTAGCCACAATCAAGTAGCGTCCTCCTACTTCATTCCCCACCCCCTCGTCCCCCAGGGCTCCCTGACACCAGAATTTCTAAGAGAAAACTCCAGAGTGGGGACTCTTAACTATATCGTTTTCCTTGAAACCATGGCAACTTCACTCCTTGATCTCTCTGCCCCCCTGATCTGTATTGATGGGAAACCCATATTATATAGATGAGGGAACTGAGTGGCAGAGAAGAGGAACATAGAGGCTTTTCCAGGGTCTCCCAGTGAGTCAGCCCGCACAGCTGGCCTACAACCCCACGCTGGTGATTCATGTAGCCACTAGAGAGGCCTTAGCTGCTCCAGACAGCTCATCAGCTCAGGCTGTCCCATGAGTCACACCTTTGCTTTGTGGGCCTGGCCCTGGAGCTGAAGGGGCCTCACCCCACAATTATTCTCTTATTCACCTGTGTCCACGGCCTTCAGGCCTTCAGCAGCCAGGCAGGGGAAGGCCAGGCCCTGGCTCTTGGGGAGAAGACAGGGCTGGCAGGAACAGCTTGCTGATTGCTGGCAAAACCACACAGTGGGGCTCTTCAGACCCAGAGGGTAGAGAACCCCAGAAGCCAGGACTTCTGTTTGACCATTCTTCAAATCTGCCAGAGCTGGGAGAAGGCACTGTGGCCAGAGGGCTCCACCCACAGAGAACTCTTGAGACTCACACTGTTGACTGGATTCACCGTCAGACACAAGTAGCAGTTGGCAAAGCAAATGCTGTGTTTTTTGAGAGACCAGCCTAACTTTTCCATCTGCCATGGTGGGCTTGTGCCAGGGGCCACAGCAAGGACATAGCTGGGACTTCTCCGAGGGCCCTAAAAGAAGGGACTGCACACCATTGCCCCTAGAAGAAATCCCATATTGTCCAATGAGAAGCAGGCAATAGGAAAACAGTGATGGGGCTCTTAGGGAAGTAGGGAGCTTTGATGGGACCCGGGCCTGTCAGCAACACTGAATACCTGCTGTGCCAGGCACTCTGGTGAGAAAGCAGAGATTCATAGGACCCACACCTGCCCTCCAGCCAGCTCATGGTTTGGTGAGGAAGCCAGTCAGGCACAAGGCTGACCCTGGAATAAGTCAGCCTATGATGATGCAGGTAGGAACAAAGTGCTTTGGAAGGCCAAAGAAAGGCGAAGACTGTGAGTGAGCAGATCAGGAAAGACCAGGAAGCCGGGCCCTCAACAGACTAGCCCTGCACCATGATCCCAGTTGGTCTGGTGGGTAGCCCAAGAGCCAGTCCGAGGTTATGTTGAGATTTTCAATGCAGAAGATGGGCAGAGAGGTGGCATTAGGCACAGAGATGGAGCTGTTGGAAAGAGGAGTGTGTTTTAGGCACGGTAATGGGTCAGTCACTCTCCTTGAACTAAAAGACAGCAGGACGTGTGGAAACCTAGACCTGACGTATATGGGAGAGATGGGCTGAGTTCCGGGGTCAGCAGCCTGGCGGTGAAACAACAGGAGTGAGGGCTTTGGGAGAGGGGGCCGGTCCGACGACTGGGATGAGGCCTCCAGGCTCCTGCCGCCTTCTCCCACACGCCTTCTCACCCCGCCGTGCAGCTTTATTTCTCTGAATCCAGAGCTCTCTCCTGCTGTGATCAGCTCTCCCCTTGAATGTGCCTGTCCACTTGAAAGCATTTCTCATTCTGCTGTTGTTACTAGCAGCAGCCTGGGGATCCTCCCAGACACCGCCTGTATCTCCTGAGACTTGGCCACTCATTAGATCGCCTGCCTCTTGCACAACTGCCCAACCTCGCCTCCCCTGCAGCCGCTCCCCGTTCTCCGTATTGTGGGTGTCCCTTCTCCACTTGCTGTTCAGGGGGATAAGCTCCCCCAGCCGTCCCCCTGGGTGAAGCTAGACCCACTGGTCAGCACGGCGGCCTGCTAATTGTGGGGTCAGAGCTCACTAGAGGACAGTAGAGGCATACATATTTAAAATTTTAAGAAGTTCCTGTGACTACAGTGTACACGTGTTGTATCATTTAATCTCTTCATGAGCCCTGGGGGGGTACACATTCCCATCCCCTCTCTCAGACAAGGGAACTTGAACCTCAGAGAGGGAAACTGGCTCACCTTTAGTAACCTCACTACCCCGAATAGGCAGATAAAACACACACGCATCCCAAGGACGTGTCTCCCCTAGCACATCCTCCCTAGAAACTTCTTGCAGCCCAGAAAGTCAGGGCTTGTGTGTCTTGTCTATTCAGAGGTATGATGAGGAGTTCCCTAAAGCCTTCCCAATGAGCTTCCCCGGGAATTCGTTTCTCCCAACCCACTTTAATGAAATAATCTGGGAGATCAGAGACCTGCTGTCCTGGGAGCTGGGATGGTCAGACCGCCTCCCTTCCCCCGAGGCCCCTCCCTGTCCTCTCCGTTTGAAGGCTGGTTCCTTACGCCATCTTGTGTCTCTCCTGCCCTTGTCCTCTGTTTCCTGCTCGCCCTGTTGCAGATGCAGTACTTGGACTCCATGAATGGTGAGGATCTGCTTCTGACGGGGGAGGTGAGCTGGCGCCCTCTTGTGGAGAAGAATCCTCAGAGCATCCTGAAGCCCCATTCCCCAACTTACAACGATGAGGGTCTTTGATGGGGGCTGGTGTCTCTGAACAGCTGGCCCGCTGGCTTTGAGGAACTGCCAGGAGAGAGGTGCTTGTTTGGCCCGGAACCCTGCAGAAAGTGGCCTGAACTGACCTTTGAACGGCATCTGTCAAATACCTGGCCCCATTTGTGTTGATTATCCTCTTAGTATGCCCAGGAGTCTGATCTGGTGGGGTACTGTGCTGGGAGAACCCTTGGCTCTTCTGAGGTATCCTACCCCCCCGCCCCAGGAGAAGCCTGGAGCAAGAGCTCCCCAGCACACACTCCCCTGGTCCCCTCCAGGAACTGTGATTGACAGCTTTTCCCAAAGGCCGCAGAGGGATGGGGATAGGTCAGCAAGGGGACACTTCCACCAAGGGCCCACCGTGGCCAAGGGGCAGTTTGGAATGCTGCTGAGTCAAGACGGGTAACCACGCTCTGTCCTCCGGCTTTGAGCCATGGAGTTGAGTTGGCCATTAAAAGATACAGAGACTTATCTCTGCCATGGCTCGTCTTTATTCCAGGGTTTTTAGAAACCTACCTGAGATGGCAGTTGCCATAAGCTGAGGACCACCACCCAGCTCAGTTCGAGGCAGGGAGGCCGAGAGGGTCAGGAGGGTCTCTGTTGCTCCTTTTGTCTCTAGTTCACGGAGATGTCACTGTTCTGGCCAAGGCCTAGCCTGCCAGGCTCCATCCTCTGGGACCCAGAAGGCCTCTGATGGCCAAGGGGCTTGTCACATCCTGAGTCATTTGGAAAGAAGCCCCAAGAACATAGGTCCCATTGTCACGAGGGGAGGAACATGCCATCTTTCCTCTGTTGACTCCCTTGATGTGAGATACTGGGGAGAAGAGAAAATTCTCTCTGGCTTCATTGTACCGTCCCAGGGCCGAGCCCCGTGCCCAGCTTCCTAGCCCCGTCCCAACTTCTGGAGCGTGCGCTGCAGAGCCAGCTCGGTCTGTGCACTTGAGGATCAGTCCCCTCCTTCCTGAGTGTGGGCCATCTCTTGGGGGATTTTCTTTACATGGAAGAAAGGGGGCGGGGAACCATAGTGCCCCTCCTTCCCCCATCAAACTTCCTTCATTTAACTTGCTATAAAATGAGTCATATAAAGAAATTCTATATGGGTGAGGTATATCCCACTTCTGTGAAAACATTACAAATCAGACCGCTTTCTCAGAGTTTATTTAAGATGCTTTTGTTGCAAGCGGAGTTCTAGAGTGAAGCCCCCTCTGTGTGTGTGAGATAGTAACACCTTGTAACTCATTACAGCTGGGCACTATTTACATAAACCAGAGCTGAGCCAGGCAGGAATTTGCTGATTAATTTATTTTTAATGGAGTGAAGTATACCATGCACCAAAATAAACTTTACTGTGTGTACCTAACTGCTCCTGGAATGGATGGAAAAATTAATGGAACAGATTTTGGCTCCCAACTCCACACATTAATTCATATATAAAAGTTATTTGAGCCTTAACCCATTTGCTGCCCCGGGCAGCTCCCCAGCCACAGACCCCAGCCCACAGCTCCAGGCCAGCTACTGGGCTTGTTTGAGAATCATGGAACTGCAGATTTAGAAGAAACTTCAGAGGTCACTTAATCCAGCCTGGGTCCAGAACTTGACTCCCCTTCTCAGCATCCCAGTTGGCCTCTGTCCATACAGGCCGTTTATGAATACCTCCACCTGCAGAGCCAAGTCCTATCTCCATAAGCTGAGTAATTGTCAAACAGTGCAACTTGTAACACGGAGCTGCGTTTTAAAGAGCCGAATTGGATCTGTCAGGTCGGGGATGTCCCGAAGCCCTCACTTCCAGACTGTCAGCATCTTTCGCCCACTACACACCTCCTTCCCCTTCAAGATAAAATCCAGGCTCCTAGAGGCTGCAAGGCCCTTCTTAATTTGACCTGTGCTCGAATTCATTTCTTCTCTGAACAAACTGAACCGCTTGGGTGTTACCTGAAGAGATCATCCTGTAGGTTTCCTCTGCCTGGTATTTTTGCATCCCCTTTTGACTAGAGAAATCCCATGTGTGCCCACGTACCCACCCCCCGTCCAGCCTTGTCTGCCCCAGCTGCAAACTATGGCTGACACACCCACCCTCCGTCCTGCACTGTGAGCTCCTTCAGAGTGGGCACTGTGTTTGGGTCAATCACCTTTGTTTTTCTAGGGCCCCAGGAGTGCCGGGCTCACAGTAGGCATCAGTATAAGCTTGGACAGATGAAAGAAGGAATGCATTAGATCATCAGTCATCAGTACAAGCCAACAAAAAAGTCCCCTTCTGGATCATTCTCTGACCTACAGTTCAGCTTATTTTAACTATTCAGTACAAAGTACTGGCCTTTGCGTAGGAACGGAAAGCTAAACGTTCGTTCTGTAGCTACATGTTTTTCTTTCTCTTTTTTTTAAGTAATCTCTACACCAATGTGGGGCTCAAACTCAAAACCTCCAGACCAAGAGTCGCATGCTCCACTGATTGGGCCAGCCAGGTGTCCCTGTAGCTACACATATTTCTACTGTAAATTGTTATTACACAAAACAAGTGAGGGACATTTCTTGCCTTCAGGGAGATTGCTCTTTAGAAATACTTTTGTTATTTATTTATACTTCCAGAAAGGATTACAGCAAATTAAAAGACACAGTTACAGTAAAACTGCAAAATGATTAGAACAAAGTTTAAAAGATAAGATGCAAGTATTGGGAGGTGGGAAAGGGAAATAATCACGTCAGAAAACCTGTACTGCTAATAACTAATTTTCATGGGAATTTTTTGGTAATTTATAGTTTTAACACATTGTCTCAGTGGTCCTGTAAAATAGGTACCCTCATCCTTCTTCCCCCCTTTCCACAGGTGAGGGAACTAAGGCTTAGGTTATCCAGCCACAGGAAGAAGGGGCCCAGTGTGCCCCAGTCCTCATCTTCCAACCCCAGGGCCCTTGCTCTCTCCCCATCCCACACTGCCCCCCACAGGTCAGCGAGGAAATCTGCAACTGAGTATAAAACCTTGCTCCGAGCTTCCCGGGAGCCAAAGGCAGAAATGGGAGTCAAGGTTCTAAGAGTTGTCACATAAAAGGAAGTATACTTATTCGTCAGAAGAAATGTTTCAGGGAAGAATGTATTATAGGGATTTTAAATGAGAAACACCACAAACAGTGCAGTGAATAGTACCTCTAAGATTTCGGTTTTGCCTGTAAGTTTGAGAACCATAAATAATTGCTGTTTCTTACATCAAGTTGAGATTAAAGCCAAGGCCCCAGTTCAGCCACTATTTTTTGCATTTCTGTTCTGTGTCAGACACTGCTTGGTATTTTCACTTGTTTTCTATTTTAACCTTCAGTGATAAATCTGTGCCGTAAGTTTTATTAAGCTCCTGTTACCATTGAGGGAAACTACATGAAGTTCAGCGGGGCCCAAATTGACTCTGGGTGCAGAACTCAGGTGGTTCTGAGACCCAAGTCCAATGCGTTTAGTTTCAGAGAAGGAGAACTGGATGGGGAAAGGGACTGATGTGCTACAGTTAAAAAGTAAAAGGAAGCCTTCAGTGATATTCCAGCCACGTGGGCTTGTGTGGACACATTCTCATACTAACAGGGAAAAATCAGAACAAGGGGGTTAGACCTCAGAAAAGCCCTGAAGGGAGTCGAGACATAAAGGATGGGCAAGGTTTTAGGTAGGTGGCAAGAAAAACAGGAAGTGGGGAGCTGCCTAGGGGAAGGCACGGAATAGGAAGCTTCTTCAGGCTCAAGTGGACCAGCTCAGTGGTTGGCTAAGGGCAGAAAAGGTTGCAGAGAGCCGGGTGGGGCCACGAGTGGGGGCAGCCTGGGTAACGCTGCACCTGGCAGGCATTCTGGGTAAGGACTGTGACCTGCTGGGAGTGAAGATGTACATCGGTGTGCAAGGTAGATCGGCTTAGTCAGGAACCAGCCATCTAGGCTTGGGAGCCTGGGGGGTGATTGTAGGAATTCAGAGGGAAGCTCAAACCGAAGAGACATTTCAGAGAAATCATGGGGCCTTGATAACTCCCTGCACATGGAGCCTGAAGAAAGCCGTCTAGAGCTCTCCTGGGAACCAGGAGAGGGCGATGTCAGGCAGAAGAGGGAAGCTCGAAAAGAAGAATCCCCTGTACTGTGTTTCTCCAAGTGCCAATTACATTTTCCTACAGGATAGGCAGGGCAGGGATTATTGCCCCCACCATGCAATAGGGGAACAGGTCCACTAGGGAGAAGCCACGAACTGGTGCAAGGTAACCCTGTAGAAAAGCTGAACAGTCTCCTGTCTTTTGAGACCTACTCCATTGCTTTTGGTTTATGTTGTTTGTATCTGTATGGGAGCCAGTCAGTGGAAGGTGCCCCAGGGAGGGCAAGAGAGGGGCTGGACTTCAGGTGATGATGAGGATGGAGGGGCTAAGGACTTTGGCCTTGTCTTGCATGTAGAAGGGGGCACTTGAAACCATGAAAATGGGTGAGTTCCCAGAGGTGAAATGTAGAGGGCTGACCAGGGACTGGGGTGGGTGTGGGAGAAGACATTCCGGGTTGGGGTGGAGCGGGGCGGCAGGGTGGGACGGGTGGGGAGGAGTAGGAAGAGCAGGAACCAGCATAGGAAGTAGAGGCTGGAGTAGAAGTCAGGGGAGAGGAAGCTTCCAGAAGGAGGAGGTTCTTAATGCTGCATGCTGCAGAGTCGGAGCCAGGGAGGAAGTGAACACGGCTTAAGGGCTTCAGACTATTCCAGGGACAAGATTTTTGAGCGAATACAAAAATTGCAAAGGGTTAAGAAGGCAGGGTATGGCAGCAGCTGTGGTATCTTGGTAGGTGCCTAGCTGAAAAGAAATGGAGAAAAATTGGGCAGGAGTTAGGAGAATAGGGTAAGAACCAAGGTGTTTGCAGCACAGAAGAAAGCTGAAGAGGTGCATGGGGGTGAGGAGGAGCTGGATTCAATGTAAAGCACTCAGTGGACTAGGAGACTTCCCGTCAATGTTAGGAATTATTAGATCCCTCTTGAAGTGGGAGCTGAGACCAGAGATTAGAGCCAGATGGGGACACGGGATTTCTGAGGTGAGGGCTGAGAGGGGAGAGGCCAACCCATGCTGGTCTCGATGCCCAGGGAACCTAGAATTATCGGCCGTTGGGGTGAAGGGGAAAGGAAGGGGGATCCTGCAGGTCTGTGGGCAGAGAATGAGACAGTCCCAAAGTGTTTGAACTTTTCCCTTGGGAGCAGTCCTCCTGTACCTGTTGCCCTGGTTCTGCTCACTTCTAGCCTTCCCACAGCATCCCCACTATGCCTTGCCCACCCCCACCACTGGGTTTGGCCTTAGGGAGGGCTAAGCCAGACCCCAGGCCCCTGGCCATGATCCTCTGCCCACTCACCCCTGCCCCACTGTTAACACTCCTCACAAATCATCTGTGGCTTCCAGGAGACTTCCCTTGAGCCATGCTGGTGAGCCCAGGACCTGACATTACAGGTCAGTACTTGAAGACGCCTTACTGAGAGGAGAAAAGGTC